TGGACCGAATCCTCGTTTCGGTGGCAATTAAAAAAGAGGCAACACAACTCAACCCAACCAGGACTCTTACTCAAGTTTCCAGTGTGGACAGGCAGCAAACTGCCCTTTTTCTGCACGCACTTTAAGGAGATTTAGGACAATGCGCCACGAGCAGGTTAACCACGTGAGCCAATTATTCCTTAATGATATGAGGAGATTCATTTTCAGGAGGGATACACGATACTACATTTACATTTACGTTTACTTTTATTTAGGAGATGTATGAGTGAGGCGAATAGCACATTACAAACACACATGCTGTCGAAGATTCGACTGGACATACTAGCAAACACTTTTTATAATGGACATTCAGTTCAAAAACTTTCTATAACGATTTCACATTCAACATCTGGTAGTTAATGACACATATGATAACTGGATGCGAGTCATATTCACAATTAGAGGAGATATATTACACTGAATTATTTACACTGTCATTTGAGCTTTGCGATGTTATGTGGGATATGTTGCTGTAAGTCTAAATCATGCCTGTATTGGATCCCGGAACCGCTGAATGCTTGGTTCACTGCTGGTATGTATTACGGATGCAGGTAAGTATTGCTCCCACAGATAAGCCCCCTACACACACACAGACAAAGCAGCATACAAGTAAGAAAAACAATAACTAAATGTGCAGTACTTATTTCAACTGACAGCAAAACCACGGCTAGATTTAGATCAAAAGACAAAAGCAACACCACTTAATCTATAATAGGCTTTATACAACAAGAGGGAGGCCTACATAAAACACAGCAGTTTTAGTAGTCACTTTTGACCAAAGAAACGCACAAGTAAAGTAAACCACATATTAAAACTGTTAAAATAGGGTGACCAGATAATCCATGTCATGGAGGACACTTTGAGCTACTTCGGGTTTTACAAACTACTTTCAAATTGAAAGGCTCCTGTGCTCGGCTAAATAGTTCAGCTCTTCTTGTGCTTTGACTGGTTTATTTCCTTGACTGAAAGACTCATCCAGCTGTTTCACATTAGCATTAGTGAAACA